ATGAATAGATAGAGTAAAAAGTCTACTTTAAAACTATGTATGGTTTTTGTAAATATAGTATTTAGTTTTGCCGGAAACAGTTTTTCTGTCTCAATCGATCTATTGTCCAACAAATATTTCATTCTCGATTTTCTCACTAATCGTGACACTCAGGAAAATCTCCAATGCCAGAAAGATAGAGCGTAAGCTGAAGTATATGACTTGCTATTTCAATCTCGGAAAAGTGCGCTTTCATTTTTTCACCTAATGTTCACGTGGTTGCCCACTGTGCAGTTACTAGTGATACTTTCAAACAAATAAACAACACCTACTGATTTTTATCAAATGTTGCAAATGCATTTTTAACAAAATTATCAACTTTACCATTTGGATATAATTGCTACATACAATAAAGTAGACAAAAAAAAATCAGTGTCATTTCGAGCTGTCTTGAATTAGTATACTTTGTAAGCTTCAGTCAACTGCTTTTTATCCATTTTCCCATTTGGACATTGTTTTAGAAAATCACTATGCCATCGACGGATTTCTAAAGAACACTTAACACAGTTAGACTGCCTTCTCGACAGAATAGAATTAGTAGTTGTAGATTAACTTACCTTGCTCTGTAAAACTTGTATTTGATTTCAGTAGTTCGATACCGTTCTGATTTATTTCTGTTGGAGGAAGATGCTGCATTTTATCATGTTCTAAATGGAACATGATTACGATTAGACTATTTGAATTGGCCGAACGCGGGTGAGAGTTTTCTTCAGTTTTCCTCCGTTATAACGCGTTATTTTGGAAAATTAAGGCACTCCGTCCCGTTAGTTCGTTTAAAATGCGTTTCGCTGCTTCAGGATATCCAAGCACCTTTGAAAAGTTTCACATACTAACTGTTTTTCTGCGTTAAAAAATGGAGCAATTAAACGCATTGCTTTTCTGGATACGTATGCGATTATATTTCTTCTCAGCACGTAGATCTGTAGAGCAAACTTTTGTGGTCAAAATAAGACCTCGCGCAACTCTGTATGACCTTGCATCAAGACGTTACAAACGTTTTCCTACTAGTCCTAAAATTGAGCATTTTATATAGCTTTTAATACAGCATTATCTCCACATGGGAGTTACATCTGAAGTATTTCCCAAGACTTTTTAATATACTTCAAGCTAGAGAGTTCGGGTTTGTTTTGTTTTAAACTAGACACCTAACTACATAGACTGACTGACCCCGATTTTTGAATTATATCTTAGTTTTTTTGTCAAATTGAGGATTTTTCCGGTTTTGAAGGTTGTTGGTTGCCTGAAAAACCAATAATTTAATAATTTAATTGAAAAATCGGCGCCGGTCAGACCATGTAGTTAGGTGTCTAGTTTAAAGTAAGATAAACCCGCACTCTCTAGCTTAAAGTATATTAAAAAATCTTGGAAAAACTTCAGGGTCTTTTATAGACCTTGATCTCTCGAAAACTCCTGAACCGCAAGACTTCAAGACAGAGAAAAATGTTTTCATTTCCGTAATTTATTAAACCCAACATTACGGAAGGTTTGACCAGAATCGGATGGACGGTGTCGGAGAAATATATATATAGGTAACACTGAAATGCGTTAGCGCATTTAAAGCGTTTCTTCTGTAATATCCGTAGACGTCCTGACCATCAACGCTGATCCGTGTCGCGTTTCCCTGAGTTCGCTTTTACTATTTCTCATGCGAACAATGTTCATCAACATTTTACAAACCTGCTCCCATTATTAAGTTGGCGTGTATGTATTTGATTTTCGTAGAAAACAGCGGCGAGATTGCTTCTTTTTTACAAAGTCTTCGATGTAGAAGTTATATTTTAAGTAACCAGCACAAATACAAAAGTATTGTTTTAATCGTAAATAAGCATCTATATGATGATGATTCCGTTTCGCTCATATGCAGCTCTGTAGATATTAATTATATACTTTTACTTTTACTTTTTCTTTTTCTTTTATTTACCTTATTACTAAAGAAAACGTGTGTAGTAAAAATGTGTGTTCACGGCAGTATGATTGAAGGATTCGTTTTTATTTTCATTCTTCAACTGCCTCATTATTACTTGTACAGTGAGTGACTAACAGACAGAAAAATAGAACGACAAATTACATTATTATACATAAGGCGCCCAAATTCAGAATTACAGTGATATTTCAGTTTGTGGCTCAAAGATGCATCATCCGATGCAGAATTTTCCGCTGATTACTAGATTTTTACTCGATTGCAACTACTGAGTGATGATAGTGGAAATGCAGTAATCGGGCGATTGCTAGATTTCTTCTAGTTGCAACTATCGATTTAACTATTGCTAATTCCACATGCAGACGCATCTAGTTAAAAATCCATTTTCCAGCTAGTAATCTAGATGGCAACTAGTCGTGCATCGCCCGATTATAGGCGAAATGTATCTAGATTTTTCTCAAAGGTGATGTTTGTTTGGGGAGATGCACATATAATCTGCAAGGATATTCATGAATTGATTCTAACTTGGCAGGTACTTAGTATAGGTCCAGAAACTATTCAAAGATAAATAAAATTATGAACCGGTGAGAATGAAAATTAGATGAGAAAATACCAAGTTGTTTCATATTCAACTGATGTATACGACTGTACACATTGTCCTACTTTATTCTTGGATGAAGGAGAAGATGTTAAAAAGGATAATGTTTATGTTGTTGAGTATATCAATTGTAATACACATGAACAAAAAACAATACTACTAGTTTCGTAGTAAAACATGATGATTTGATTCATGCTTTAAATCCTGGAGGAAAAGAACGATTTCTACAATTAACCAATGATTAGCAAAACTTTATTCTTCGATCAAAAAAATTTCATTAAATATTAATATTAATACATACATTAAAACATATTCTGCTTTCGTAGCTTCGTATTGAGGAAATTTTTTGCTACTGTCGAAACATTTTCCCCGTGGTTGGACCATAATAAACGGGACAAAATGTTTTCCTATTTTTGATATACTTTCCTTTAATGCGGAGACTTGGCCCAGGACTCATTTGATAGAGAATTGAAAGCTCTGCAAACTGCCCATTTCCGCTTCTATACATTTTTTTTTCTCAGTAAAAAATGTAAAAGATCGGCACATACTCAGTTTCAAATTGTGACAGGCGGAAACTGATAAAATGATCTTAGATTTTTTAGAAACAGTTTTTCTTTTTGAAATAGTTTGAAATTTTAAGCATACCATTAGATTCGGCGTGAAACGCTGCGTCTTTATATGTAGCTCGTAACTTGTTGAAAGACAGATGGACCAGGAAATGTTTTGGATTAAAAATGTAGAATTACAGAAATAATCACTTTCCTGACAGACATTTTCAACTTATATCTTTGAGTTTATAAATAATTACAGTTTTCACTTTTTAAAGTGAAAGACACAGCAATATGTTTAGTATTGAATTCTGCATTTAACTGTGTGAAAATAAACTTTTTGCACGCTAACCTGATTCTGAAAAAGTCATTTTCCCGAAAACGTGCCGAAAAGACCACCACCTGTCAGTACCTAGCCAATTTCTGCCAAACCATAACAAAGCAAAAATTTTGAAAAGTGTAGAAATATAGAGAACAAAATTGCCTTTCGATTCATGCGAAATATTTTATGCTTACTAACAAACTTCATCTGGAAAAACGGAATGGAAACTAGATATGGGCACGGGGACCAAAAACATTTTCTGGCCTCGGTGAAAGATTTGCGTGCCAGACCATGTCGTTAAAATCGCTCCATTCTGGACGATTACTTGCGATTAGCAATAAAATCGCCAATTATTCGCAATTCTGACTATAATCGTCCATAAATTGCGATATAGCGACGATTCTTAACAACTGGCGACTAATCAGCTTGCATGAAAGATCGTCAGTTGTTAAAAATCACCGATATATCGCCATTCTTAAAGATCCTGGTGATTTTTCTATTTTAATAATGGTCAATTAATTGCGATTAATTGTTAATTTTAAGCTATTAAATGGTTTTTTGTTATTCGCCATTTTATTCTGCAGTAGAAGTAGTAGTAGAGTAAGTATATAAGAAATATGACTTCAACGAGAAATGTTCTTCTTCTCAGATTATCTTGTTAGTTTAGCTTGAACCGGAGTTGCCAAGAATATTCTTTGTAGTTTTCTCAGGGCTGACTTATTGTTTCGATTTGAGTCAGCTTTGAACCGAGCAGTCCAGTTGACTGTTAAACTAAAAGCTCGCCGATTTATTGACGATTAAGCGCACGATAAATCAGCTGAATAACCGCTAAAAAATCGTCGACGTATGGCCGATTCTTACTATATGGGATTCCATTAACTTTAGTGGTAAACTATTATTCGACCACGCATTTTGTAGAGAAATGTTTGCTCTTTCAGCCTATATATTTTAATATATATCACAGGCCTTCGTTACCGCTTACTTTAGCAAATATAATGACCGGGACCTTGATGCCTGGTCGAACAATAATTCAGCACTAAAGTTAATTGAATGATACATAAATCTTTTACCAGGACCAGAAAAATTGTTCGGTCCCAGTGCCCATCTCTAGTAATTAGTAAATTCCTTCACTCCAAAAAAAACCTTTGGTTGAGATCACTCGCTATCAGCGTCCAGAGACCTTTGGCAAAACAACCTGTGTCTTTTTAAACTGACTTTCCAAGCAAAACAACATAAATGTCTTCCGTGAATAAAAAAGTAAAGATAAATAAACGTGACTTTCTGGACAATTGAAGGGGCTATCTAATGATATGACTGAAAGGCTTCTGAAAGATATTTTAAGATCACTAAGCTTTCTAAAAAAATCGGGTTTTCAAAAATCTCTATCCCAAGACTGCGACGTGTAGTATAACTTTTCTCCGTCAAAATATTTAGAACTTGATGCGTTCATTAATTTGGCACCAATCAAGGTCCTACGTTTGGGAATGTAGTCAGCAGGCGTTCTACAAATTAGGAGAAATTCGCGGGCCATTTTTTTCGTATCGTTCTGCAACATCTATCGGTGCTGACCAATCAAGCAATTGTGCACTTGTCACATTTTCGATACAATTCAATAAAATTAATGTTATTTTCTACATTTTCATATGATCTTATAGATAAATTTTCTTGTTCATTTTGATCAAGCCGTCGCCAATAAGGAATTAAATGATAATTAATACTATAACGTGCATCTCCATCTTCTACATGGTCCCTTAGATAAGCATACAGACAATCGAATGTAGATTTCAAGTCCTGTCGATCATCATAATGATATAACGAATAACGAGCATCAAGTATCATAAACGATACGAGATACATATGGAGTCGAAATAGATTTGGCTGGAGATTTTCTGCAGACGAGTTCAAGAAAAATTTTTTTTGCAAGTTACTTATTAGCATAAGGACATGGGCACTGGGACCGAACAATTTTTTTGGTCC